AGGTTCTAGGGCCGTTCGTTTGATAGCTGCAATAATCTCGCTGATTTTTACACCGTTTTTTTGACAAGAACAGTTTCAATATCATTAGTTAGTCTACTGAAAGATTAAGTAATGAAAGCCACAAAGTGAAGAGCGTGATGTGGTTTTCATCTACAATTGTGGACAACGTGGTTAGCGATGCGACATCCATTAGAACCGCATCCATCGATTCAGAGATTTCAGGAAACACCCGTTTCCTCTTCTTATGACGATCAGATAGCTTCACTGCTTGGAAACCAACTGCGTCTTGATCCCCTTTACGAGGTAAATAGAAGCGATTAGACGAGAAAGATGGAAATCCGATGCAGGAAAAATCCATCGAGGTTCCTCATCAAGTCATTAAAGAAGAATGGATCGAAGTCCCAAAAATAGAGGAGCGTGTAGTTGAAGTCATTGATGAAGAAGTTGAATATGTAGACAAGCCTGTTTACAGAAGGAAGGTAAGCGATACAAGGAATGATTCACGAAAGATTCCAAATCAGGAAGTTGAAGAAGTTGTTGAAGTGCCACTTGTTCAAGTCAAACAAAAAATAGTCGAAATTCCTGAAACAAGAGTGACAAAGAAGTATGTAGAAAAGGTGTCAATTGTGTATGAAGACAAAGTTCAAATAGTCGAGAGAAACGTCGTGAAACAGAAGATTATTGAAGTAACGCTAGTAGGCTTTTCCATCTGGTTCGAGCGATATGCTTCCAGATCCCTCGTATTATCAAGCGCGAGAAGATAGTCGAAATTCCGAAAATCGAGTATAAACAGGTAAGAATGAGTAGCGCGTTGAGGGGTTCACTTGTTTCTCGCAAGTATTGGGTTCTCTGACGTAGGTGATCATCGATAAGGTATGAGTGATTTTAGAGGGGGGAATTTCAACTTGCCCTTTTCAAGATCATCGAAGTTCCCCAAACAAAGATTGAACACATCTATAGAGATGTTCCGTTGGAGCAAGTCCGATTCAGACAAATTCCCGTCGAAAGACGAATTCCACAGTACTACGATCGTCCTATTGTCAAAGTGCTTGACATTCCTGTTTCAAAATTGTGGGAAAGATTTATTTACAAACCAGTTGAGACACCTCAGTTCACACCAAGGCTCGTAGATAAGATTGTGGAACGGCAAGTGCTACACCGATTGCATCATGCCGACGTTTTTTCACATCAGAAAGGTTTATCGAGATGTTCCAATTGATCAGTTTCGAGTGGTTCCAAAAGTTGTTCCAACCATCAAGTAAATTGGCCTGTAAAAATCTCGCCATCTTTCTATCTGACAGAAAAATACCACGGCCTTATCCTGTTGTGGTCGAAAAGATAGTTGAAGTGGAATCTGAGGTCGAGGTACGATTCGTGACCAGCTGCCGAAGCAGAACCACTCCCCACAGGTCCCGTCGGAGCGTGTTGTTCTGGTGCCAAAGAAGGTTGTTCGCCGTGTAGAAAGGCCAGTTGAGGTTCCAATTGAGGTTCCACGAGAACCAGAGGTTCAAACTGAGGAAGGATTGATACCTCTGTCCAGGTGGGAGATTTTGAAAAACGCTAGGTTAGAAAAAGGGGATTGCACCGGATCTTTAGCACGAAAGCCTTGAGGTCACTTCTTCCCCTATTCGCAAAACAAAAAAAACATTTTCGTTGGTTGAATTTTTGAGTGAAGCAAAAAATAAAAAATCAAAGTGCAGTCACGAAAAAGGAAAATGAATAAATGCTAATAACAGCCATACTATGCTATCTTTTGGCGGTGGGCGAGGGATTGGACTGGAAGCAACGCCATGGAGGCGTTTCAGGCCTTCAAAACATAGCAGATGGTAGGGTGGATGTTCAAATAGTGATACTACCTGTTTCCCGGTTGCAGTGGTTTCAGCCTCTCGGACAACATTGAGGCAACAGTTTGGCTACGATAGTCCAGAGGTAGGGACTTCATCTCTTATTGGCGGGAACAGATGTTCGCTGTGTAGGCCCTTGAGTTTGAAGATTTGCTGAGGTTTGTTTGGCTTCCTCCCACTTGTGTATGACTCATGTTGAATGCACAGGAGAATTAAGTATAAACCAGTGGATGAATCACTTACGCACATACGTGTAACTCGGGGGCACTCTGAGGCCGGTACGCCATTCCATCTCCTTTTGGGAACCATTCGGCCTTGGACCAGATACGCAGGAACCAGATGAAATTGAAACATTCGCCACTGAACTGATTCGTGCAGGGATGCGCAAAGTTAGAAGTTGATCATTTTTTCCAAACTGGATGATTCTTACACAGATAAGAGCCCTTGAAGACAAGATTAATCTCAAGCCAGAAGAGTTCATCCAACTCAAGGCCGGACTAAGCGTTGGCAATGTGCCATGCGAGACTCAAAAAGCATGCGATAACTTAGCAAAGGTGCGCCAATTTTTGAGCCCGATCTATCAAAACAGCTTTCAGATAATGAACATTTGCTCTGGAATTCGGAATTCAGCGGACGACGTTTACGACATCTTCTCCATCATGACGGGAGTTTTCTCCAATGTGATCAGCTTGCTTTGTGGATGTCTTTTTATTGGTCCTGCTCACGTAAATCGATTCTTACTCTTGTCCAATCGCATCTGCTGACTTCAGATATGTGTTTTGAAGCAAATTCCATACACTTGCGTTTTCCCTTATCAAGTCTTTTCCACTTTCATGACCGCGTCGTCTTCAGTGTGGGAAGTCACGAAGACATTTTCGTCGATTTGCAGGCTGTATGTTTGTTAACTCGTGCGTGTCCCATTTTGACCTCTTAGGTATGGCGATCCGAGAATCCTCCCTGGATTGGGATGATCCGGCGTGTCAGTTTCTTGACAGTTCTATGTTCATGCTTTTTCACATCAGTTGTAGCGTTTAGAAGTCGCTGCCACCTTTTCCCAGGGCGCCCCCACGTATGCTTCACTTTTCTCTTCCAGTTTTGCTATCGACTCCGCATATTTTGAGCCAACCAACATTTATTGCAGTTTATTTGATTTTTGAAACAAACAGTTCCATTTATTTTTAGGTTTGCAATTTTCGTGTTTGTCAAGATGAAGATCATTTTTGCCTCCCTTGTTATAGCTGCGACAGCGTACATTCCGAATTATACCCCAAATACACTCAGCTATAACCTTCAAGTGCTTTTAGCTCCAAAAATGCCTTCCAAATCAGAAGGAGTGAAACTCAAGGCACAGCGAGCATTCGAGCACCAAAGAATATCCAGTGTTGACGAAGAAGTAGGGGCGAGTGGTGACGACCCGCGAAGCTCTTTCCTTTCAGGCCTCAAGCCATTCTTCCTGGGCGCAGCGGTATCTCTCTGGCCTCAATCGGGATCTCAATGACGTTTTGGTACGATTGAGAACAGATGATTTGTTCATTCAGTGTTTCTTAGGATTTAGAGGAAGTCGGGCAAGAAATCGGAAAAGACTACTCTTCCGAATAATTGCAGTGACCCTGTGATATGGTATTCCAATTTCATTGAAGTGACATTTAGTGAGGTAGAACAATTCCACATATTTCAATTCGGCCACTTTCTTCCAATAACGTGCGTCCACAATATCGCTGTCGCTCTAGTTTGAAATGAGCTATTTAGACTTTTTCACATGCAATTAATTCACAGAAGATTTTGCATTGCAGCCATCACGTCGGTCTTGTAGCCAAGACTGTTCTTCAATTCTTCTTGTGAAGCTATTGTTCCGCTCGAAATCTACCCTCCAGAAAGAAGCAATTTCAACAGTTTATTATCTTTATTGCCAGGCTGACGAACCCGTGCTTTATACTGATTTACTGGTTCTCTCTCGAGCATAGCAAACCCGTCGGTTTTCAAGTACTAATTCTCCATGCTGCTGCCCATCAGAACCTGGCTCACAACTTTTTACCAATTTTCGCTTTTCGGTGTCTTCGTTCTTGCAAATGAGGACAGTGATGAGAAGTCCAATGATAACAGTGACGCAGTTCGGAATGAGGTCTTTCACAATCTTTTCTCTTTTTTGCTAAGTCCCCATCAGTCAACGACCGCCTTGTTTCTCTCTTCACTCCTCGATTCTCTCTGCTGGTTAAGAAGTGCAATCACTCCGGCGCTTCTTCTTCTCATCGCTTACATCCTCATCATCCAATATATCTTGCCTTTTATCGCTTCGATTAAGCTTCTACACTTCTTCAGCATTCAGTCTTCTTCAAATCATATGGAGGAGCCAACACTCAATCCTGGCCGTCAAGCAAAGCGTACCAAAGGAAGCCGCTTCAAAGGGACGGGTCCCTATGGAGCTGATTCAAGCACTCAGAGCAGCTCTGCTGCAAACTCACCAGTCATCCGTGCTGTTCCCAAATCTCTTGTTTCTTTGACAAGTTTGTCATCCGAGATCAGCAGAAAAGCCGAAGGACCGAATTCACAAGAAACTCACAAACTCAACAACGAAGAAGTGGCGAGGTGCATTTCAGAACATCCAACCCCAGAGAGGAAGAGAAAAAACAAGAAACTGTCAACCAATCCTCAAAGCAACGAAGGAATCAAAAACGTGTCTGAAACTGTTTTGATTCGCGATCAATGGCTTGCACTTGTGGATTCTGCAAGTGTGCCATTACAACAATTATTCAATCAAATCGAATTGGGACATTCAGCCGTTCTAAAGGGAATAAAAGACTCCATTCGGGAAAAGGGACCCGTAAGTGAAATTCAACAACTTCCTGCTTTACCCTTTTCTCCTAGGGAGCAATTGCATCGCTGATTAATGCGATTCTTGAAGAGCGACGTCCAGTTGAAGCTGCTGGATTGCTCCGTCTTCTTGTCTCAAACGCAGAAGCACAAGACGCAGCAAGATCAGTTATTGAGAGTTTGTTGAGTTCTAATGCTGCAAGAAGCGTCATGATTCAGGCGTTGAAATTCTTGTTCGACAAAAATGTTTCTAAATCCATTCCGTTCACGTTGACAACAGGTGAGTTGTTAATAAAGAAAAATTATGACTCTTTGCATTCCAGAAACAACAAATGCAATCCTAGACGACTTGATTGCACGAAATGATGCAAACTTGGAAGAGTTCACTGCCATCCGCTTAATCCTCGAGACACCCTATCCACCTTCTGTTGCGCGCCGGCTGTTTCAAGTGGTTCTGAGGTATCCGAACGGGTCTGATGAAGCCCTGGCTGTTGCAGCATCAGCTCTCTGGAATTCATCAGAATCCAGCACGATAGTTCGATTAATTTGTGCTGCATGGAGAACAGAACAACCAGAAACGCAAGAAATCATCCTGGAGGTGTTAAAATACATCGAAGACAAACATTCAAGCTGCTTTGATGGCGAATGTGCTGCAGATATCGAACGGATTCGTGCAACAACAACAAGTACAAGAAGTCCATTGCCTTCACCATCTGATGTCTTTGATAGACTGAACCAACCCCTCGTGGATGAAGATGCTTCAGTGCAGCAACATTCATTTCAAACTGAAAATAGTGACCAAGAGGGAGGGAAGTGGCGCGAGCCCACGTTGTTTGACAATGCTCGAGCTGCTGCTTCCCTGTTGAGCCCGATTGGAACTCGCAATGAAGAAATCAATCACAATGACCTGGTTGATGGCAGAAGCAAATGCTTGGAGCTAATTCACCAATTTGAGGGACGGCTGGATTCTAATTCTGCTTTAGCTGTGTTGCAATTGTTCGAGGATAAAATCAAAGAAAACAGTGGAGCAATCCCTTACGGAGGAGTTGCACTGAAACAGCTTCTCAAGATCTTCGCTGAAACTGACGACGTTGAGAATTCGATAAGAGTCATCACGGCTCTCGAGGCTTTAAGTGCCGCCGATGCCTCTGGCTATACCGTCATAATGCAGGTGCGTTCGAACTTCTTATCCTTACCAACCAGCTTTTAACCTTTGTAGATGTGTTGTCGTGTTGGGAAGCTTTCACAAGCGGCTGAGTTTATGAATCAAATCATAGCTGTTTGCGAGAGCTGTACAGATGACGATGTCTGCCATCCTTCAACAAAAATTGAAACGTTTCAATCCGCCGGGTTCATTGAAGAGAATATTCCTGGTTTTCAATTTGATCAATCAGATTTAGCCGAATCTCCACGAATTCATTTAAGCAGAGCGCTTCGGATCTACACCTCAACCTTGATTGAGTTGCGACTATGCGAGCAAGCGCTGGACTTTATTGTTCACATTATAGAGAATCGGAACCTTAAGGTGAACATCTTTGATTTCATGATTTAAAATTGATTCTGTTTCATTAGATTGACAAACCGACTGTCACATCAATCCTTACAAAACTTCTTAAGGGACAACCTGATCATCTTCTTGCATCCCGTCTCCTTCATATTATTATGCATGGAGTGGATATCAACGAAGGCCATCAAGATGCAAAATTGGTCAGAAACTCAATTCGAATCGATGAAAGCTTTTTCGCAGTCATCGTTGATTCATGCGTTAAATACAGAGTGAGTCTCGCAAATAATCTTTAGTTTTTAAAAAAACTCCTTTTTCAGAGTGATGAACTTCTTACTCTAATTGTCGAGCGATATCGCAATGAACTTCATCATTTATTTACTCCGGATCTTCAAACTTGCGGTGTTTTGATAAAATCTTTGGGAAGTTTAGGAAGAATAGAAGATTGTCG